GCAACCAAGAAAGAACACCAGAATAGTCCGTAGTGGAAATATTATGACCTCAGTACAGCACGGTGCAAAAGTCAGTAAAACAGAAGGACAAACCCCACGGTCTGGCAGAAACTGTGGCTCAACATCAATCATTATTTATCACTGCTACGTATCACCACAGAATCTGGGGAGACTGCAACTTCTGGGCCTTTACCTTAAAACCTTCCTCTGCCTGACTGTACATAAGTGATGGTTGCTTATTAAGATTGTTCTGTGGACCAGAATAGACCACAAAATAGTGAAAAAGATACCTTTTGGTAAACTAAGATACCTCACAGTGGGAACAATTTAGAACACCACAACATTTCCAATTGACACTCTGGTAGAGGCTGGAAAAGGTCTTGCCCTGCACTGACAGCTTCCATCTCTAACTGGTAACTCCGCTTTGAACATTTCCCCTCATTATGAAAGACCTACTCAGGATCAGTTGGTCACATGGTCATTTGCCTTTAAAGACACAAGGAAATTCCCCAGCATCACAGTTATGTTTGCTTTCTAGGGGTTACCTGTAATTAATAGTTAAATTTTGCATAGAATGCCTTATTAAATACGTGTGTGTGCATGCATGCGCGTGCACGCCTTCAACTCCTGAAGAGTGCCTGGACTAGTCTTTGCAGTTTTCTCAACAAGGCTTTCCGGAAGTGGTTTGCCTTTGCCTTCTTCCTAGGGCTGAGAGTGACTGGCCGAAAGTCACCCAGCTGGCTTTGTGCCTAAGGTGGGACTAGAACTCATGGTCTCCTGGTTTCTAGCCTGGTGCCTTAGCCACTATGCCAAACTGGCTCTCTGTATAATTACTGCAGCTGTGCAAATAAAACAATAATTGAGCAGAAGCAAGGGTTTATGAGCAAGGCTCATAAAGGTGGTCTGGAGAGGTTTGCCCAAACAGTAGGAGTTCCCTGTATCTGGCAAAGACAGAACAATTATCTTCACTGAAGTTGGAAACACACCTGCAGGCTTACTCACCATCACACAATCCTTGAGATTTGAAGCTCAGATGAAAAGAGTACTGATTAATCTTTATACTTCATCCAATCAGTGCTCACATCTTCATTGTTGTTGTTGTTTTTCAGTCATTAAGTCATGTCCGACTCTTTGTGAGCCCATGAACCATATCGCACCAGGC